GGTATGGATAGTTTACATTGTTCGAGACAATTGATTAATATAATGAAATATGACACCGCTTGACCTGTCAAAAGGTCATAAATAGTTATACAATTTTGCTAAAACTATATTTGACTAAAACTATCGATAGGTATTAGGAGATATTGTTTCACTGAATCGAATGGTGGTATTTTCATCTACATAGCGTGCACCAAACAGGAGATATGAACAGGCAAAGTGTCATAGTATGTGCACGTACTACGTTTATAGGGGCCTGCTTTTAAAGAGTTAATGAAAGCAAAAGAAAACACAGTTATTTATATCTTCAACGAGGTTTGGAAAGTAGACCATGCTGTGAAATATTGTATATGATTTGCCACAAGGTTTATGAATTATTAATGAGTATTTTATATATTTTATATATATATTTTATATATATATTTTATATATATATTTTATATATATATATTTTATATATATATATATATATATATATTTTATATATATATATATATATATTAACCTCCTATTTTTTCCTCCATCCCAATTACAGCCATTGCAGCTTTATGGCAGTTGATTTTCCTGATACTGGTTTTCCATAAGCCATTATCAATGGAACTCCACTAACAATTTTGAAAGCTGTTCGTAATGCACTGCCAACCCTACGTACGTAATGCACTGCCAACCCCACCCCACCCAAGACCAATAATGTTGATGGAAAATTTTCCGCCATGTACTTTTCTTGGATAAGGATCACGTTCCTCAGCGTTTCACCAGCATCCAGTTCACCTTTAAACGAAAAATGCATGCTGTAATAGTAGTAATACATTAAGATAAGTTATTATTCATGTAACACCTCGATTAGCTTTGCTATTTTGTGTATAGTACTGTATTTTATTTGTTATGTTTAAATTTAATAAAATGTGATTGTGATTGTAAGAGTTATTAAACATCGAAACTGATTTACAACAAGCAATATGTAAATTTGCTGGTTATATTTGAAGTTATCAAACGCTTGTGAGTTGAAGTGAGTTTTATTTTTTAAGTATATATTCGCAGTTTATAACTATAATTAATATCTAATTATCTGTAATATCTATTTACAGATATGTAGTTATTCCACATATTGCAGGATTTGAAATTTATATACCGGGTGTCCCAAAAAAAACTTGCGCTGTTTGATTTAATGTAACATAAAAACTATAAAAGCTATTTCACTCAAATAAGTTATATTGTATTCAGAAAGGGTTAACTTAGATTTTGATATATAACACTTGAATATCCGTGCAATATTCACTGATATCTCGATGTTTTAAATCGAATAAGCATATTTGACAATGTTAAAAATTTGCATAAAATTGCCTATCAAATATTATTTGGTTAAAGTTGATTATATAGTTTTATTGTGGCCAAAAGAACGAATGAAAAACATAATTGTTGGATAAACCTTAGAACCCAAACTATTTGATCTTTTGTTAATCAAGGCATATTCGAAAGGCGAACGACGACCAACTTTATAATATGAACTCTCAAAGGACGTCAAATATGCTTTCGAATGAGTTTTTAAATGTTTCATGCTTATTTTGCTTCCCAAGAAACACAAAAGGTTAACTTACACTAGGACATTACCCGAAATCAAAGTTGAGTTGAAATTGTTAATTTTTGTGGAAAATGGCAATTTGTTTTCATATAAATTTAATCAGCCATGTTTCTTGATTTTTTTGCTAATTTTTAAAGCGTGCGCCACATTGAAACGTTTGCAGCTCACATAATATTACATGAAATTTTTAGGGCTGTATATCAAAATCTAAGTTAGCCTTTCCTCAATACAATAAAACTGAGTGTAATAGCTTTTATAGTTTTTACCTTACATGAAATCAAACACCGCAAGTTTTTTTTGGGACACCCGGTAGTCGAAAAGCATTGAACAATAGATGTATCGAAGCTAGCATACATATAAATCTCCGCGAAATTGATATGGCGGGAACAAGAGTTACAAGACTAACTAGTATTCGCCGTTTGATTTCACAATAGCCAAACATACATACCGGATATCTCATAATAAGGTAGGACATCTGCTTCACTTCCAATACTACAAAATGGGGATTCTTCCAAAGATAATCTAAGTGCCTTGCCCTCAAATAACCGAACTTGAATTTCACACGATTCAGGGAGACCAAGTCCCTAAATGATAGAGTCATTAAAAGTTAGCAACCATACGAATATATACAATATATAATATTGATGTAGTTTAAGATGTAAGCACTGAAGAAGTCTCAACAGGCGAAACATCTGAAGATAAACAAATGTATATATATATATATATAAATAATTCGAAAAATGTTAAAATTGCAACCAGTGGAAGACATCTTTTGGAAGCTAAAAGTAAAGCTTGGACGGTTGAAACTGGTTAAAAATATATTTTAATATTTTTAAAATAAATTTTTAACCAGTTTCAACCGTCCAAGCTTTACTTTTAGCTTCCAAAAGATATATGTATATGTATATGTATATGTGTATGTGTATGTATGTATATATATATGATAGTTTTGGAGTTGAAGCTGGTCTAAAATTCTTTTTAAAATACTAGAATATGTACAATAAAAAGTCTAAAAAGTTCTAAATTTTCGGTTGCTAACTGCAACCTTCATCAGAGTACTAAGAGCAGTTCGGATAGTTCAAGGTTTTTTAAATATCGTCATTATTGCCACATGATTGCACAAGCGATAAATACATGCGTGGGAATTCTTTGTGTTCGTTAAGAAAAACGAACGTTCCTCGAGTCGATGCATTCAATATTAGACAATAAAACAATTAACGAACACAAAGAATTCCCACGCATGTATTTATCGCTTGTGCAATCATGTGGCAATAATGACGATATTTAAAAAACCTTGAACTA